TTTTATTGATTTTTAGGATAGTCCGAGTAGTATGAGAATGGGCCACCCTGTATGTTAGGGTAAGGGAAAGAGCGTTGAGTCTACGGTATTTCTCAGCTTCGTAAATAGCGGGGAAATTTATTAGAGGGTGACATCAGCCGCTTTCGCCGATGTACTTCGAACTTTAATGAAACGCAGTAAAAAACGATTTGCCGAATAAGTCTTTTCTTAATTATTACGACAGGCGAATTTTATGTTTCAATTTGCTTACCTTTCCTTCAAATTTAGCTCGGTTGGAGCTCGTTAAATCCCTAAATCAGAGATGTACGCCAGCTTTCGAATAATTGCCGTTCTGTTCTTGACTAATTCTTTAATAAAAGGTACACATAAAATATACATTTTTTTATTTTAAGATAATATATTATCCTTTAATGCTTTCGCACACTTACCAATCTATTACAGTAATTCAAAAACAACTCACTTCCTTCACTATTCAATGCTTTTCATAAGTACAACATTTTTTTTCAGAATCTCTTTGTCTCGTGTGTGTCTATCAAGGTGCTAACTTTAAATTACCCTGTAAATGTGTTTATCTGAAATATTCAAATACATGTTTTATTTAAAACAGGAATAATTTATATGATATTAAGAATTTGGGGTGACACAGCTTCACGAATAATTTAAGTACAAAATGTGAATCATAACTTGAAGCATTATGTTTTGGTTATCTGTTCCTTTATAATATTTGTGTTTATTTTATATATTTTATACATTTTTATTTATCATTTAACTAATGAAAATATATATTTATTTTTTACTTAAATTTACTAAAGTATACTTAAAAGGACAATGAATTCGGCCAATGTCTACTACCAGTCATGTCCTATGCACTTAAAACGGACATTATAAGGAAACTGCAGGTCGCACAACGCTCAATTGAACGAAATATGCTGGGAATAACCAAGAAAGAATGTAAAAGAATAGAGCGGATACGTCAAAAAACCCAGGTAATAGATGTCATCCACAGAATCAAATCCCTCCAGTGGCAATGGGCAGGATACCTGGAAAGAAGAACGAATAACAGATAGACCACAAAAATTACAGCATGGTATCCACGAGGAATTAAGAGACAAAGAAAAGACCAAACCTGAGATGGGACCGTGATATTAGAAAATTAGCAGCGATAACTTGGGCCTGCATAGCCAACAATAGACAACAATGGGCCCAACTACAAGGAGACTAGGTATGTGGGAAGGCTACACCATAGTTCGAAATTGTTGAACAAGCTGAAAATGATGATGATACTTAAAAAATTTACTTGTGATAACCAAACAGTCTTACAAAAGTTTCCTAAGATATAAAGTCAAACTTAAAAGTTATACAATTTAAACTTATAATATAATTGCGGTACCTGTATATTTTTTTGTCGCACGATAAAAAATATTTAATAATTTCTATCCTATTAATTTCTAATACGGCAAAATTTATTTTGTACCTTTAAAGCAGAATTTCGTGACGTTAGATAATAAAAAGCTAGTCTTTCTTTATACCTCCCGCAAGAGATATGTGACATAAATATTGGTATTTAGAAATATATATTATTAAAATAATGATAAATAAAAAATGTATTTTTTATAATGTGGTTTTCACTTGTGAATATAGCAGCTGGAAATATTCCTGTAGTACCTTTTTGTTGGTGGAATGAATAAATAATTATCTAGCCGGAAACTATAACAAATTCTCGCTATTTCCATTAACTCGCACTAAGCTGAAAATCATTTGACGTCTATTAGAAACTGGACTAACCCAATTAATAAATTTACCAGTGATTCGATGCGTTGCCGACCCTTTCCCAAGATACATTACACAAATTACAGGACTAGAAGCTCATTTAGATTTCACCCGAGTTTAGAATGACCCCAAGGTCCACTTGTCTATAACTCTCCGCTACTGTTTGCTTTCCTGGTAAAATTTCGTGATAAACATTGTCCAGTAAATATTTATAGAGCTAAATTTAAGCTCTTTATTTGAAAAGTTCTCTGTTCATTACCCTTGAAATCACCAAAAGCTAGAGACAAAAATATTTTTGTTGCTCTAGAAATAACATTTAACATTTATAACAATTTTTTTTTGATTATGACATTGAAATTTTTATCTTCAGATACTTCTAATACTGATATATTTCTATCTGCGTTTTGTTAATTTGAAATTAACAAATACTATCTAATGACAGTTACAAAAAGAAGGTAGACAAAATATACAATCTGCACATATTTTTCTGTACTGTTTTAAAAAAAATTATAAAAAATGAAAATATGTTTGAATTTCTTCTAAGTTCTAAAAATCAAAAGCCGCTATGGTAATATAATTTCGATTTCATTATTTCATAGATGGCTATTATTAATTGTTATCAACATCATATTTTTTGCAGTTGTTTAAGTATCACATTTTGTGATAACTATTATCACCTTTTCCGTAGCATCGAACTAAATAAATTTTGTGTCTCTTTAATATTCTAATACAACAACAAATATGACGTTAATTAAAATTATATTAGAGAATGAAAAATAAATTGTATTACCATAGAAACGCGTCTTAATTTTTAGGGCTTAGAAAAAATTTAAACATGTTTTCGTGTTTTTTTTTATTTTCTCTAAAACACGGGATTAACCATTTTAGAAAAAGTAATTTTTTTATCAACAATTGATATTTCTCAACATATCAATAATAAAAAAGTTTTTCTTCTTGTAAAGACAATCCGGGAATATACTGTATATAACATTTTTTGATAAATCATATTTTTAAATTGAAATATTACGAATCAATAACAATTTCGTACGCAATCTCATAACATGTCTGTAAATAGATATTAACCCAATATGATTAATTTAATTATGAATATACAACAAACCCAACAAAATCCTCCTGTTTCGGTTGTAAATAATATGAAATTTTACCTTTCCAACAATACTGTGAGCGAGTTTACTGACCTACAGGTACGCTTGGCTTGGCTCTAATCGATTACTGAACTTTAATTGGCCAAGTACCGATTTTGACCAGTCAACTGTGCGAAAACTGGCTTTTGCTTTTTTGCTTTAAAAAAAGGCCGAGCCTTTTTTAAAAGGAAATGATACGTTTTCATTCTGATTACACACCCGTGTAATTCCTGATAATTGACGTATGATTCATGCCTTTAATGAATGAAAGAGTTACGTTTTCTTTTAAATTGTAGTTAATCCTCAAATAATGACTTTTCTGTATAACATTTAGTTAGCATTTTTATTAACGTTAATGAAAGTTGATTACTTTTATTGCAACATGTTTATATATTAAATAAAATATAGTTGATTAATTTCGAAGTTTTACACCTATAAACATCCTCTACGTCCATTACTGTTCTCGTAAGACTATAATGGACTATAATTTTTTTATTCTATGCTTTTTAGTTAGTAACTAATAGCATTTTTAGCGAAATCGGTGGCATCATTTCTTGTTAATATTTAAAGCCCTTAAAAAAACATAGCAAACACAGTAATAAAATTATTAAAATGTCAGTATATCTAGGAAATTTTATGTATATTCGGAATATCTGCACCTTTAAAGGCTTAGATATCTTGATTTAGTGAGAAAATTAATTATTTGGACCCTTGTTTTTCAGCCTATCTTTGATGGAAGTTAAAATGTCCCCTACAGCTATTTCTGTTATCGTGAGACTACAATGGCCCATATTTTCTTATTCTAAGCCTTTTAATTAATAAATAACATAATTTTTAACAAAATCGGTGGCATGACGAAAATCGCCAATTTTCATGATGTATGGAAAAAAGTCGAAAAAATGCCAATTTTTTTACTTTTTTGCACATATTCAAAGGCCTTAGAAACAAAATAAACATAGTCATAAAATTATGAAAATTTCAGCATTTGTACGAAATTTTATGTAGACACTTTGGTAAAAAAATAAATTATTATTTGGACCGATGTTTTTGAACTAGTTTTGATGATGGTGAAAATGTCACCTACAGCCATTGCTGTTTCCATAAGACTATAATTGCTTATATTTTCTTATTTTACGCCTTTTAATTAGTAAATAACAGCATTTTTAGCAAAATCGGTGTCATGACGAAAATCGCCAATTTGCATGCCTATATGTAATATGGAAAAAGTGGTTTGTAAAAAGTACTTTTTACAAGTTCTCACAGGCCTGAGAAGCATTCGATTCAGAATATCTTTGAAGATACCTTTTTTTAGAAACTTTTGAAGGCTTAAGTACCTTGGTTTTTACCGGTTTAATAAAAGAAAATATATGTTCCAGATGAAATTCATTGTTTAATTATTACAATGAAATATATAATCTACAAAAACTGGAAATGGAATATAATAAAGCATAAAAAGAGAACGCGAAATACGAAATTATATTTGAACGTTGAATTATGTTTCGAGCAATTTATTTCTTTTGTCAGATTTCCCATTTTTTATATGAACAAATATATATGCGCTCATATCGTGCCTGAGGTAAGTAATTTGGTCTGGTGAAACGAATTTCAAATCTTTTAAAATCTTATTTTCATGTTTCAAATTAGAATTAAATATTTATTTAGGGACTTTAAAGGAATTTATCAGTTTTAATGTGGGGTTTTCATTAATTTCATAGATTAATAAACTTTTATTTTTTAACAGACATCTAAAGAATAAAAGTTTTAAAAGGAAATTTGTTTGATGTATTTGAAAGCAGAATCAGATACAGGAGTTTACACCATTTTCATTTTTATCTTAGAAAAAGATATTAAAAAGTTAAATAAGTTAGATATATTGCTTAAAAAATCATCAAAAACGGCCCACTAAAACAAAATATATTAAATTTTAAAATACATCAAAATTTTAATGTGCCCGTTTTTCGTACCGGTGAGTGTGAAATAATGTGTGATAATTACCAACCCAAGACCGCATATAATAAGCACAAACTTGAGAATTAATATACCCAAGACCGCAAGAAAGTAATTGTATGAATTTTCTTCTTTCAGAACCGTGTGAGAAGACATATTGCGCCTGGGGTGCCCAATGTGTGAACGCTCCTGACGGGAAGGCCCTTTGCCAGTGTCCAACATCATGCAAGTCCAAAAGCGAACTTGTCTGCGGGACCGATAATGTGACATACGAAAACCAATGTCTGCTGCGACTTGCTTCATGCAAGGCTCGCCTTGATACCAGAGTTAAACACAGCGGACAGTGTAGTAAGTGCATCATATCTAGTTGTTAATTTCTTATTTTTAAGGATTTTGTTTCAAATTTAGTAGCAATGCAGAAGAAAATGTAACACATTTTATATTGTAATACCTTAACAGAATTATTAATTACATTTAACTTAATGAATAGTAAATTGGAGAGTTTAATAAACACATATTACACATTTTTGTCTCGTGTCAAGTAATAATTCAATTCAATTTCAAAATTAATAGCTCCACAGAAAATTAATAATTGAGAATTATGGCTATATCGATGTTTACATTAGCATGAAAATCAGTTTATCAATACAGTACTTCGGTATAATGCTATTTATTTATAAATTGCATTAAAGAATCCTAAAAACATTAAAATAATACATTTTATGAACGTTACTAACTCCATTAAAAGAGAATTTACTTTATTGAATTTGCTTTGGAAAATAAAACAGCAAATACAAGCAAAATCTAAACAAACTGTTTGGTTATTTAGCGTTTGATTTAATAGTTTTTAAAATATTTGAATGTATAAAAGCTTAACGAGAAAATTTTTATAATTTAAGAGAATTAGTTATCATATATTATAATAATATGCCATTATTTTTTTTTTCAATTATTAAGTGGCAACCTTGCATTTTTCTGTTTACATCGGGTTTGTCTTGGGTACTTTCATTTGTACAGTAAAATTTGTCTATATACATTGTCCAGTCTTAGTGCTAGTTATTTCATCAGTATATGTACCTTTTTTCTGAGAAATAAAACTGGACTCAATGTTGAATAAAAAATAAAGAAAAAAAAATAGGAAAAGAAACGACGCAGGAAGGTAATGTATTCCTGTTGGAAGATTATATACAGCTGTTTCAGATAGAAGCGACTTTATGAAACAACGCAGTTGCTTAAAAATTTAATGTAAAATTCTGGCAGAGAACATCCCATACTATTTACTTTCAATTTTCTTATATAAGAGACGTAAGGATATACTTAAACTAACTCGCATTATCTTTTAAATATTACTATAAAATTTAAATTAATGTAATAATAGAACTAGAAATAGAACATCTTTATTTATAATGTCGAAAAATAGCAATATTACTGTTTGACACTGGACTAAAAAATAATATCTGAAGATATTTGCCAAAAAAATCCTTGTGTCTCCAATAGCAACTTTACCACTCTATATAAAGTAATAAAAGACAAAAGATTAACACAGTGAAAAGAAAAAAGTACGAGAATAGTATTTGAGGTCGCAAGTATAGGAAGGCAAAAGGAAAATGAAAAAAATAAGACGTATTATTTTCTTCCAAGTGTGTATCTGCCAAACGATTTACTTCTCAATAGCGACTGAGAGATATTTATCTGAATTTTTATTGGGGTCTATTTATAGACTGTCGATTGACGTTTCAAATTAGATATTGAAAAAAGGGAATACACGATTTATGACAGTCAAATAAGGGCCACGTCAATTTTTTGACTAGCGCAACAATTTTTTATACGTGAGTGAAATAAATGGAGCATGACTATTAAGCCGTAAAAAAAATAAGATGAAAGGAAATGAAAAAATGCTTATTACATAAAAAATATGCCTGTGTAAAATTTTATATTTTTTGAAGTAGAAACCTTTGTCGGGCAAAGTCACAAAAAATATATTGTTACACACAAAGAAACGCAAATGTAGATATAAAGAGTTTGCAATAAGTAGAAATTTCTGAACAGTATTGGAATTAAATAATTATTATTAAAGTTTATATTAAATAATGTTAATTGTAACAGGTGTGAAAATCTAATATATAAAATTCTCATGTCACAGATGATAAGAGATAAGATATTTTTATTTTTTTATGGTTTGGTATTAAAAAATGCATAAAACCCTAAAAAATGACTAAATGTTCACCCTTCTACCATCAACCCCTATTTTTTAATTAGGGATTGATTTTTTAATATCTTGTTACCATACTCCTCCAAAAGGGCTTGACCGATTTTGATGAAATTTTATATGGTTATTCAGGAGGTCTTAAGAGTAGGTTATTATCTATGTTTTGTACCCCTAAGCTCACCCCAATTTTTTTATTTTTATTTTTTCTACATTTTTATTATTTCTATGTTTTTATGATGTGGCATTAAAAGTACATACAACCCTAAATTTTCACCCTTCTACCCTTATTTTTTAATAGGGTTTTTTTATTACCATAATCCTCCGAAACGTTATCTATTATTTATACCCCTAAGTGATTAGGGTTGTCCACCCCAAATTTTATTTTTATTTTTTGGGCAAAATTTTTTATTTGTATTTTTTGTAATGTAGCATTAAAAATACATTCAACCCTAAATTTTCACCCTTCTTCCACCAACCCCTATTTTTTAATAGCGATATAGTAATTCAATAATTTTAATTTAACTACAAATTGTTTTTAAAATTTGTTATAGAATACCTTTATAATTATTCTTTAATTTATCAGCAGTATCAAACTTTTATAATGTGGCATTAAAAATACATACAACCCTAAATTTTCACCCTTCTACCACCAACCCCTATTTTTTAATAGCGATATTAGTAATTCGATAATATTAATTTAACAACAAATTGTTTTTAAAAGGAGTTAGAATATTTTTATAAATATTCTCTAATTTATCAGCAGTATCAAATTAAGTCGCAGAGAAATTTGTAAACATAGAAACCCAGTATGAAGTAAAAAATGCGTTTAATGTGGTTTGTTTTTGTAATTTTACTTGTCGATTTTAAAATATATATTTATTATCAGATCCTTTATATCGATACACTGTACCACACATATATTTCTTTTTTAAAGCTATGTGTCACATAAAATTTATTTTCCCCTACAAAATAAAAGGAGACATTTAGAATTTTCAGTGAAGAATGAAAAACTACTGAGCTGTGATCGGAATAAAATATGTTATATAAAATTTAAAATGTAGTAACCTAAAATAGAACTGAAGTGAATTGAAAACAATTTGAAGAATGATCATATCAAATTTACCTTATATTTTATATGTTATTGAGGAAATATTCTTCCTTATAACAAATATGCTCAAGTGAAATTTATTAGCTTTGTTCTGTAACAATTTTTTATAATAAAGTTACAAAGTATACTCTGTTTAGTCAATTTTTATATTTAAATGTGTTTTTATTTACATATTTTAATACTTAATATTCTCATTAATTATTGAGTGAGTAATATTTTTGCTTCTTTATATAAAGTATATCATCATAATATTTATTTAGAAAATATATTTTGTTGTATGAAAATTGTTACAAAATTTATGTTGGCGAGTTGTTAGGTGGGTTTGTTAATCTGGAGAGGATCTCCTTGTTTATGCGGTTTCTGCACCCCTGTTGCCAACCTTAATGATCAGGTCAACTAGAGGAGTTTATTAGTTAACTCAGGTTCATATTCCAGTTTACATTAAAGGCCATTACTTTGTAGTACGACGGATTCGAACATAAAACTATTAAACGATAAAAATAAAAATATGATATAAATTTGCAGTTTAAACATTAAAAAATTGGTTTAAACTACAGTATATCGAAAAGTATTAGAGAGAAATGTATTTCAGAACTTCATTTTTTACTTATAGGTATATGATTCCAACTCAATAGTAAATAACATTATTTATTTGTTACTATATTTTTGTTGTTGTAAATTTCTTGTCGGTTACTATATATAATGCAATAATAATTATAAATACAGCTTGTTTATACTTAATTATAAACGAACTAATTTAAAAAAAAGTCAGTATTTTGTGTTAACACAGGTTATGAAAGAACAACTGAACTATAATTGTACAGTTATCAAATTGTACATTCTAACAAAAATATATAGATGGTTTTTAAAAATATGTAAACAATAAGAACTAACAGAAATCACTTACATCAATACAAAATTTAAAATTATAATATTAAAATGTGAAGGGAGAGGACTTATTCAAATTTTATGTTGATTTCCAGGCTTCCACATGGTGTTTTCACTGCTTTTATTTATTCTAGATATCTTACAGCTTTGTAAAAAAACCTAGTGAGAATAGGACTCCTGCAGCCAGATGTTTATGATAATTGAAAACAATACCTTCAAACCATTAATATATGTAGTATCTCACTCTTAGTAAGTTATAGCTATAGTCATTAATTTTAGGTTTAGATTTCACTGCATTTGGTTTGTCTATCACGAGTGATATTGTTTTGTGCCGCTGTGTGGCTGCTGGAGTTATATAATCTGTTTTGTTATTTGTATCAAATATCAACAACGCATATGCACAACGCTTAGTTAGATTACCGAACGCATTGTAACAAGATTAGGCGTATTATTAATGAAATTTAATTACTTTAGCGACAAATTATCCTTTTTGGAAATACCTTTAATCCGATTTCATTAAAATATTTTACATCAAACAATACTATTTGTTATTAACATATTTTAATTAGTTTAATTTTAAAAATAGGATAGGCATAGCTGAAAAGATCATTTGAAACCTGGTTGTATGTAGATATAAAATATATGTTTAAAAGTAAGTAAAATGAAAAAATGGCTCTATGAACAAATGTCTTTTAAACTTTTCAAAAAATATAGTATACACCTCAAATAAACGAGAGAATAACACTAATATAATTTATATATTCTTAATTAAACAATTAAAATTTAATAGAGTATTTAACTAAAGAATTAAGGGAAAATTGGCCCTAGAGAAGCTGTATTGTTTTCTAGGAAAAAGTACTAAAAATGTTCATCGCGATTTCATTTGAAGATTTTTCAATTTAGATTCCTTTTCAGTTTGGAAGCAATTTATTTTAATGAAAAATTTTATTTAGAAACTGACAACGAACGAATTAATAACAAGGATTGGAGCGGAATGTTTCGTTTGAAAAAGCAGAGAATTCAGATTTTGTGCTCAACTCTTTTGCATTAAATTTAATACGATTTTATTGAGAATGTATTCTTTTACATTTTCTATTAAGGGGTTTAATTGTATTAAATGAAAGTGTACAGTTAATATTGATA